CATAAACCTTAGACATTACTGCTATAAGTTCATCAAGACCTTCGGAATATGTGGGACCATTAAATCGCTCGGATATTCAAAATTATTCAAATATCTTCCATTGCATCCGAAGCATTACGAGCTGATTACAAAAGAAGTTTACAATAGCGGTATATTGAAGGTTTTCAGGTGTCCATAGATTGGAAGTAATGGCGACGTGACTCTTCAATGGTGTGGCTGGTTTTTTCGATCCTGTAATCAAAATTAGTGGAAATAAAAGGAATCAAAATGTGGATATATTTCATTAAATCCGAATTTACATGACGTATTTCATACAACACCAGAAATTGACCTTAGGGTCACCTTAGGGTCTGGGTTATAAATGAGGGTTATAAATTGAGCGCGCTGATAGTAGTGGTTAGACATGAAGTGCTATTGTAGAGGACTGCGCTTCAGGCATTGAAAATCAAGCAGGCAGTTGGAGGAATTCACATCGGAGCTCAATCTATCACAGAGAAAAATCCAAGCTGAAAATTTCGTCAATCTTGGCAAAGTTTCTTCGCTGCGTAATAACCGAACCAGTAACTGGGGTCGTTAACAGTTATTGTTCAGCCAAGATTTGAACGTTATTTTTGTATTCAGAGCCCTTTAGAAATGCGAATCGACCAGAGTCCACCGTCAGTTCAACTTTGAAGTTTGTCTGCTGAAGGTTATGCTTTCTACCGCGGGTTGGGCTCTTCAATTGCACTCTCTATAGGCTTATGTAAAAGGTGTAATAACGCCGAAAAGTCACCAGGAGAATTACTAGCTATTTCACTGTCGTTCTGTAGCTTGGAAGCTCCGTAACCCAACGCATTCGGATGCTTTCATCGATCTGCTGCGATCAAGCATCAATAATATTCTTATCTAGCGATATCCACCTATTGCAAAAAATTTTACTAGAAGCTATTTTTGAATCGCAGGGGGGGAAAGAATAACAGTACCCGCTTTTGAAGGAACTTTTACGCGAAAGAAACCTCTTCAGCTAGGACAGTAAAAAAAAGCCTCATCTAGTAGTGGATCCAGATGTCAATATGTTCAACGAACAAATAAACTCTGTGATTTCAAAAACATGTACCCTAAGCAGCCCCTTCGACCTGGCTGTGACATTGCCACCATTTTTAATGTCTGCTGTATCGCCTGCAAAGCAAATATTTCTACTACCCACTGCTGAGAGGTTATGTACTTCAGCAACGCCTTCCCTTCCTCAACTATGCGTTGAATCTCGCCACCAGTTCATTGTGGTTGCTGTTAATAGTTGGCACGCTATGTGTGTAAAAGTGCAACAATGAATCGGCGCTGGTTCCCGCAACATGCGGATAAGTGTCAATCATTTCTATAGTACTTGACGTATATTCAATTTCTTATCATATCATATCTCAGGAATTTGGATTACTTTCAACGTGAACTATAAAACTCAATTTGTGCCAATTTCAAAAGCTTTCTAGTATCGTAGATTTCTGATTCGAATGGTCTTCAAAATTTAGCTATAATAGACTTATTTATGTGACTACTCAAGTATAAAAATGGCTAGGATAAAAATCATAATAATGAGAGAAAAAGCCAGGTCGCGAAAGTTTAAGTACCATAAAACAAAAACCATATGGCAGTCTGATCCTACTTCATTCCATGACTGATTGATCGCAATGGAGTTCCCGTTCTAGTGCTTTCTAGAAGCTCTCGCTCACTCAAGTTTTCGCCTGATACACCAGCGTCAGCCTCTCGCGAAAAGCTCAGCGGCAAACTACTCTCAATTTTTTCGAGCCTATAGAAAGCAGTACTCACTTAATTCATCAGAGCCCTATGTACGAAAGGAAACAAAATTTGCTTTCTCCACTCCAGAAGCAAAGCACTAAAGTAGGAGGCTAATTTGGAAGACCGCAGGTTCGAAAATATTGATGAAGTGCATAAAAATGGCAGTGTCGATAAGTCTCACAAGAATACTGGGTTATGATCAAAACTTTCGTCCCAAGAGGCAGTCAAATCCTGCACCTCTCGCTTACCGATCATATACGCTACAAGTAATGCTACCTTAGTACCGTTTCCTCCTCAGTTTTTTATGTATATTCTATAGCTTTGTAATGGCTACAACAAACAATCAAACATCACACTGGATGCCTTTGAGAAACTCGCTAAGGGAATCTGTGTTTTCTTTGTAATTTGGTTGAGTCCTATCAAATAAAGTAAAAGTCATCCATTTTTAACTGACAGGATCATACCCTTCCATAGAGTAATCACTTCAATCTGGTAAAACGGGACTAAATGATAGATAAGATATGCAGCAACGAACAATCCTTATGGTTCTATGGTAAGAAAAGCTATAAACTCGATTCAAAGGCATAGCTGCTTAAATGAAAATAACACCGAGGCAACATGTAACAAAAGGCACCACTACGAAAAACTTCAAACTGCGATTTCCTCAATTTTCTCATTGATGGAGCTACCTTACTAGAAGGCGAGAGAGCTGTATCCCAACCTCGTCTAGGACGTCTAACATGACTAAGAAGACGGCGATTCATCGAGTGATCTGCTCAGGAGAAATAGGAGGGTTAGAAGATCAGTGCTTGGAAAACAGCTCTCTTGCTTCCTGAACGAAGTGCCGTGCTTTGAGGTCCTGTTCCACAACAGATCAAATTGATGGGGACACACCTCACTGGGCACCATATTCACATCAGCTGGGCGGTGAGAAAATCTCAGTAAGACATAACCCTAACAGGACATATTTTAGGTAACAAAAATAGTCAACGATAAAAGAAGATAGATAAGTGAAAAGCTATAGAACGCAGCTAACAGTCAACTGGTCAGTTAGTCAGAAGAAAATATGCATGAATACTTGCAAAGGTTGAGCAAATTATGGCAAGTCATGAGAAAAAGATATTCAGTATTACAAATAAAAATTCTGATCTCCAAGGACAATTACTTGAACTTGCATAAAATGACTGTAATCTCGTAAAAATCGCTGACAGTATGAGAAAAAAGAACCGGGTTCATAACATAGCGTAAATTACGCTCATTGAAAAAAGGACGTAACACGTAAATGAAGAAGAAATAAAGGAACATAACAAGCTGCCTGGATATGTGGAATTGATACTATTTCTTTCAAAAGTACAATACCGTAATTCTTTCTTTGGACTGAAAGTATAAAATGCACAACAGAATAACGTAAGGTTCACTCTATGGCAAACATACTACATCATTAAACTGCACCCAATCAGTAGTTCGTTCTAGAAATATTATTCCGAATGATATATATGCAAAAAACACTGCCCTAACTATGAGTTGTGAAATTCTGCGAAGGCATGAACTGATTTTCAAGCTAAAAATATTGTCTGAGGTCGCCCACTCTGCGCGACCCTTACATAAAAATATGAAAAAACCTTTTTTTATTCCCTGAGAGTGTTTCCTCTCACATATCCACACCCTTTACTAGATCATAAGCTTCACATAGGTCAAGTTGAAGTGAAGTTCTAAAATTTGGGTGAAATTTTAGGGTAAGTTAAATTAAAAAGGATTTGAGAGCACGCTCACTTACCATCATGCTAGATGAGACTGAAAACTGGATGGTTATCAAATGCAATGCAACCATTTATAATTGGAAAAGATTTCGCTGCCACAATTACGGCGTTATAACCGGGCCTTAGCGTCTGTTACGCTGCTAGTACAAGGATACAATGGGCGCAAGAAACACTGAAGCTTCTTTCTTCTTCTTTAGGCAAGAGAAACACTTAAACAGATGAGTGAACTGCCTGCACACCAGGTTAGACTGGTTTATTCCGCCTAACGTGATTCGAGGCAAAACATCCTATTCCACGGTAAAAATCTGAAACGCAGTAGGTACAAGTCGCCTAATGTCGGTCATTCGATTGCGGCATAAGATGAAGCCCTGAAACCGGCATGGTTGCAAGTACCTGTGCTGACCCGACCGGTGTGAACGGTATTCGGTCCAGGTCGGGATTACAGTTGGACTATCTACAGCAAAGGCGTCTTTCCAAAAGAGCATTGAAGCCATCTTCCTTTCTAGATGAGAGGTCTTCGCCCTGACGCGGCGTTGTTCAGAGACTAAATTCATCTCGCTGAGAGAAAATTCGTCTCAGAAAGTGAACGCCGGCAATCTCCAAATAAGGGGCCTCCGAACAAGAGTTTCATAAGCACCTGTTGCCCTCCACAGGAATCCGCGAACGTGCGTTCCGTCCCTCACCGGGCGATTCTTCTTCCAGCCCATCACCAAGTAACAAACTATGGGTGCAGTTTTACAAATTCCTGCCTCCCCCCTCAGATTTCAATTGTTCCGTCTTATCCAACAACTACAAAGGGATGTTTAACACGGTCAACAAGGAAAACAGAAAAGAATAGCAGCAGCAGAAAAATTTCGGCTCATGTAGCATGGGGAAAATTCTTATCAAAAGAGAGGCCCAAAGTCAGTCTTTTAGCGGTCAATTCGCAACGGCGAATGCAATCTCGTTCCCATTAATAGGAAGTATATCACAGTATTAGTAGTGTCTGAGTGTCACATGCCACGGCTGACCGCCAAAAAAAGTTGGATGTTCCCGGGTAACAACTACTGGCAAGTTGTTAGGCCGAGGTGTATGCATCCATTCGCTGGCAGACCAATGAGAAGCGCTGAGATCGAGGCAAAGAACCCGACGTCATAAAAAAAGGATTTTTCCCTGCGAGCAAATTCGAATGCCGTCCCAGAGATGTATATGAAATGGAAGAGAAAATGAAGGCGATAGGATGGAGATAGAGATGGTTTAGGTGATGTGGTACTCGTTAGAAATGCGACTGAAAAAATGCTTAGCGCCAGGTTTGCGAAGGAGCATAGACAGAGCCTTTAAACAGCCGACCATTGGTCCCTGATGCGTCAGTAAGAAATGATGATTTTTGAAATGATCCGACATTTGTTGTGAGTTCATCGCCTATTCGTGGTGCAGTTCGTGCTATAGTAGTGGAACACCAACAGTACTTAATGAGCTAAATCCAACCGTAAACAAGCGCTCCAGTGGAGAACTTGGCTGCGCTTGGAGAAAGAGGGCGGTTTAGACGGAGTTGTCGGACGGAAGGTGCGGGTCTTCTGTGTCCATGATGGATCGGATCGTATGGACAGGTAGTCTGCGTTGCTGCTGACACCACCATACGATGAAGCCGCTTCCCATCGGGCTGTCACGAATGTATCCATCGAGGTGGCGCTACCGTTAGATGCTCCTCGGCCGGCTTCTCGATCGGCGGCACACTAGAAATGAGACAATCGCGGTGTCTCATCAGTGCAGTTACAGTCATAACAACTAGGAAAAGTGCAGAAATATTTTTTGATAATTGCATTATTTTCAAAAAGATACCGAATCATTTGTGCGCAAAAACCGCAGGCTTATCGCCGTGTTGGCTACAGTACCCCAGCAAATATCTTCGGATGCAGCTGAGTAACAGACACCTTTTCAAAAAGTATAACAGAGAAGGCATTGGAGAGGCCAAAATTCTCTTTGGCAAATTATCCAACACGATGAAAAGAGCGGCGAACAGCCAATCTGTTGGACTTATGCGCTAGGGCTGAGAAGAATCTTTGCCCTCTACAATGTTTTAAGTTTCATGGTATCAGGGTAGGGTTACTCGAGCCCAGTCCTTTTCACCACCTCACTTTGATGCACTTGTCTGCGCCTCGCTCAAACGTCAGCTCATGGCTACTGTGATCTCACACTTACGCCACAGTGTAATTGGCTCACCCACCCCCAAGCAGAGTCACCTCACGTCCGCACTTTTCCAGAAATTTGCGACCCCCCCCCTTTACATAGGATCTCGATGGCGACCAGCATCACCCATCAGTCTTAGAAGACCATCCCCTTCCGCCTTCTCCGACTACCACCCTCACCATCATAGCTGCTTCTACAGTATTCGATTCTGAGACCAGTCGGCACAGTCCAACTCTGCCCAGCTTCCTCTCCAAACCAACTGTCTAGCAGAGGGCAAATCCACCAATTTCGCTGATTTCCACCACTTCCGTAAAACTTTCACCAAATTCCTCGAAAAACACAACCCCCTTTCAAAGACCTCCGTCGACCTCCATTTTACCTATGACAACCTTGCTCAACCCCAAAATGCGACCCCCTCGTTCCAATAGTGCGAATGGACGGTCGACCCTGCCTCAAAGACCCCCCTCCAAGGCTTGGCCGTTTGATGCTTTTGTCCGTCCTTCTGGAGGTGTTTCACAACAGAGTGTTTCCTGTTCCTAGAGACCTAAACCTACAGTCGTAATCTGGCTACGTAATTAAAAGACTAGCCTCGACTCCCACTGTTCCAGAATACTGCAGACCCGGTCCTGCGGCGTTTTGTCGCAAGTGTCCGATTGATCAACACAATCGCAGTTTTCCCTGCATGAAAAAAGTCCAGAGGTTTTTATCAATTTCCAAATTAAGGAAAATGGTTAGTAAAATTCAGCCACATCCTGGAAAAGCGTCCAAGAATAACGGGACTGAAGCTGTTTAGGCGTAAGGTGTTGGCAACAGAGCTCAACTAAGTAATTCAAACAACACCGGTACATTTTTTCGAAGTACTCCATTATGTAGGGTAAAATTAAAACACAGCACTTATCGTTAGTGGTCCCAAGCCGTCAATGTTTAGCTTTCTCAGAAGTACTCCAGTGTGAGCACTGTTCATATTATTTCGCCTATTTCAGGATGAAGTGAAGCACAAAACTTCATTTCAATTTTAAATAAAGGTCCTGCAATAATTGGCCACATCTTAAGAAACCGTCCCAGAATTACGTGTTTGGAGCATTTCGGGAGCAGGCCGTTGACAGTGAGGTTCAGCATCTCATGTTCCTGACGGAATGAGAAAAAGGACAGATAACGCCCTTTGCTATACTTCTTGGCGACATCATCGATTCTCTCCTGAGGTGGGATCCCGATTCTATGTATCCGAAACTCTAAGATTATGGCAAAAGGAAAAAATAAGCGAAAATAAATGGAGTGCAGTAGGGAGCTTTTTCGCATTTCAGTCCGCATTTCTATTGTTTTTATTTTACTTGAATATTAATGTTTGACGATCCATAGAAGGATATCTAGCCGTTACAATGCGTAACTCTGCCATCAAGAACACTAATCTCCCAGAGTTACCCGTCTGGTAACCCCCTCTGCCGCTACCAGTGTCACTTTTATGCAACCTATGTACTCTTATACAAAAGAAGTTGTGGTGACTATATTACAATATAGGCATCTACGACAATCCAGAACTCAGAGGCTGCAGCATAAAAGGCAGGCCCAGGATCAAATTCATGAGGTAACTTCCACTCGAATATGAAGGTAAGAAAGCAAAGCGAACCGAAAGTGAATGCCAATAAAAAGAATCCCTGCCGGCCTTTTGAACTTCTCCGCACCGTAGAGGAAATGGCTCGTATTTCCTAAGCATTTCACGATTTTTTTTCTCTTTTCTGCACTGGCGGTCCACTACCTACCCCTACTTTCACATTTGAGTGGAATTACCTCATAATTCAATCCTGAATCTTGCCTTTAAAGATGAAAATGTAAGTAACGGCAGAGGGTGAGGCTCCAAGAAACAAAGTGTGACCAAATCCTTTGCGCCTAGTGCTCACCATTAGGTGACGCGCTTCAGGATACGAATCCTATGTAGATGCGCAGCTCGCGGTGGGTTACCTGGCACCTTCACCGGGATAGCATTCATTTCAGTGAGATTTGAGCGGACCTGGCTCCTTTAGAGTACAGAAATTATCTTCCGGATTCCCACCACCACAGCAGCAACAGAAAGAACGAATTGCGCAATGAAGACACAACCTAAACACCCGTCATCCCATACCTACTGGAAATTCTCCATGAAAACCAAAAACTATCCTCCATACTTCAAGGTAAGGTACGACTATAGGATTATTTGAGAACCTAACATGAAATGAGAGTGCCCTCGAAAATTTACGTCCAAGCCTGGTTGTTGAAAGATCGACTTGGAGCCTCAGAAAAAATTAGCCCAGTAGCGCTCGCACGGAAGTGTTAGATTGTGTGATTCATGTCGTCTGATTAGCAGGTGTACATCCAATCACTACGAACACTTCCACTCCAGCTGATTCCTTTAGCTTGAAAAATGATTGTGAAATAGAGATTGGAAAGAAAAAGGGAACGTGAAACAACCGGCAGAATATTTAAATTAAAGACCATATGTTCGTTGATGGCCACACTACTTACAAAGTAAACGCATAGACAGTTAAGGGAGAGAGTGTGTGTGCTGGTGAGAGAGAACAGACACGGGCACAAGTCAGAGCGCAGACATATCGTGGCATACAATGCTGCTTAAAAGAAATCTTCCACGGAAGAATCATTACCACAGAAAACGATACCTTAAAGGAATCTTCCACGGAAAGAGTGATCATTTTGTCTTGTGTGTAGGATTAGTATTATCGAAAACTAACGCTTATGTTCCGTTCTTTTTGCTATGCTCATGAGGCTAGGGGCCTAAGGTATCGTTTTTCTGTGGTAATGGAGGCGGAGCTTTTTCCGCGGAAGATTCTTTGTGGTTAACGAGGTAAGATAATCGGCGGTCACGTTCTGCCGTGACACAATATTACGTCAGTTTTCACTTTCAATCCGCGAAATTTGAATATTCCCCCTTTCTTGAATTGCTCTACTCTGCACCTGGGGAGAACCAACCCACCTGACTTTCTCGTGGAATGTGTCTTTAAGTGCATGAATCATTCAAAGGCTGCAGCACGAACAATAAAAGGTAGAGACCAAGATAATGCTTTATTGAATTAATCGTTGAGAGACCGTACAAGCACTACACGCATTAGCTGACATGGTTAGAACTGCAAAATTAACACTAACAAAGCTACGCTACATTACGTTAACGCAAGCTATGCAGCTACACATATTATGTTTGACTAGAAGGTATGAGTATCGATGCATCATTATGTGTTCCACGACTGAATTACATTTAGATACTACTCGGTCGTCTGCGAGCAGACGCGATATCGCGTGTTACCTTGGACCAAGTGCACATCGACTGGGTAGCAATGTCGCGCGGCCCATTCTGTATGCTGCGTGAGCAGCAGTTGATTTGAAGATATCTAGACTCACGTCGTACCCGTTCAAAAGCGCCTAGCGGGCGTAGTTCGTTAGGGAAAAGAAGCGGATTTTTTGCTTTTTTGCAGCGCGAAACTTGCTGCGGGAACCCCAGGTCCACTTCTGATCAGTGTGGACCATGGGTTCCCGCAGCGAAAAAGCTTTCGGGTGCGAGAAGCGGAAAAGTCGCTTACTGTCCTAGCAAACCACACCCCGCCTAGCTATGTCTGCGTCTCTACGGAACCCCACGCTGAGCCACCGTATCGAATCATTTGCTGCCCACGCGGTATTTGACGAAAGCGAGCAGCGTGGCATTAACATCCAAGTCCCTCACGTCAACAAACAACTTTCTGCACGTGCACATCACGAACTCCGTGCAGACGACCGATTAGATCTTAAACGCACCTTAATCAGTATCGACATATATTATAATTCGAAGTGTATATATAAATTATACATATACGTCACGATATTATACGGCGTCCATGGTCGGAGCCAGGAACTCCGCCGG